GAAGCAAACAACCCTGAGGCATACGAAACGCATGGTCTAATCAACGTAATTTATACAGTGTGTGGTCTATTGAGGGAAAATTACCATTTCTGAATATCGCCTGACGTAACTCACTGTGACTGATCTGCTATCCTCACGAAACTCGCATGATGTTTCGCAGGCACCGATTACAGCGTTTCCGGAGATCAGCATGCAGTGGTCATACCTTCTAACTATAAAGTAGGACAGCCCGCACCGCAGCACTGTACACTCTATCCTTGACTGCCAAACTGTTGTGATGTTGGTACCAAAAATTTCGACGATTAGCGCATGCTGACATGATCTTCCCGAGGCGGAAAGTGATTCCTTCATCTTCCAGCTCAACTTGACATATGAGACTACCCAGATAGACGAAATCATCAACGACATCGATTGTTTCATCTGCAAACATGAGATTTGGATTTACTCCCACTCAGTCTTGATGTAACAGTTTACATGTGCGAAACGAACTGTGCAGAAGAATTACCAAGGTTATTTACAATAGTCTGCATTTCCAAAGGGTCTGTTCTAAGAAGAACAATATGGTTGGAATATTCAATGGTGGTGGGCCAAAGTCCCCGTAGTAATTCAATCCCCGAGGTTTCGGTAGGGAGTTTCACGAAGCGCATCAATAAAGTTAGAGACTGGGTGACAGAGACAAGATGGCCCAAGTGATTAGAGCGCGAATATACTGGCCGGAAGGTTCGTGGTTCAAACCCGACCTCTGCTTCTCGACTTCCCCTGTCTAGGCTTGGGCAACCTGGTAGTATCTCAGCCTTCGTGCAACCTTGGGGTGGCGTGGCAGTTAGGCAGTGGAAGGGTGCTACAGCTGAACGACAGAGGACACGCCCGCTTCACATCGCTGAGTGGAGAGAATTTGCCGTAGACACGTCTACGCTAGAAGACATGGAACCTTTATACCATACAAGAATTTAGACATATTGTCGGAGTTTCTGATGGTCAATGGACTCAAAATCAGACTTGAAATCGAGAGAAACTGTCATTATGTTTTGTCCGGTTAACTGGCGTAAAGTGTCAGTATGTTCCATGTAACTCTGTCAGCTTGATTGTCACCAATCTGACTCTCTCAATGATGGATCAAGCTGCATAGGACAGTATCAGAGAGCACCTTGGAAATGATGGCTACTCGACTGATACCAGGATGGTTTTTCGCACAATACATCTTTTTTGGATCTGGAAATCATCATAGGGACCTCTCATTCTGTGAATCTTGTTTTCACTGCAGATATTTTGAAGTAAAGTCGTCAGGCCAGGCACGAGAGGCTCGTCACCTTACTTAGAGATCGCAGGATTCAAGCCCTCTGGACCAGGTGATTTGTTGAGCCCAAGCGACGAAATCTCTCGGTGCACTTTCATTGTTCATCACATACTGATGCTGACGCCCTTTTTTAATTCAGTTTGTCCTTCCAGAGGTTGACTGGATGGTGCCTAGCTGGACTTTCATTCAGCCTGACATTCAAGGCGATGTTCCTCTGAATGAACTGAGGTCCAAATCTTTGAAAGATCGTTTAGTTGACGCCCGACCTCCTCTGATCAGTTTTTCGTGTTGGCTGGAATGTATTGCACTTATACCCCTTTACAACATCCTTCTCCATCTCCTGGCTCTTTGCTGTCCACCAACACTTGGGCTCTTCACTATTCGGTGTTTGAAGGATCCCTACACGGCGTCATTGTCGTTTGTAACTGGCATAGTTTTCCTGGCTTCAATGGGGTCTGCTGATCCCGACGGAATCTAGTGTACATTGGAGTGTGTAAGTGATTTCAGGCAGACAGTTTCAAAAACTTCAAGCACAGCTTCTTTCACCTTTCTCTTTTCTTCATCGCCAGCCAACTCAGCTGGATAGTTTTGGGCTTCAAAGACGCTTCCCCGGTAGCGAATTGAATGGCTCTGGATCGACTGCGTGTTACCGATCCAAAGCGGATTGCTCCAAAGATTTTTCAGCCTCTTGCGCTATCAATCAAGCGAGGAATAAATTTTCGTTTTTATCAGGCTTGCAGATATATATCGGATGAGAACTAAGTCAAATGATTCATGTGTTGCACTTGCTTTCCATTCTCATGTTGCTTTTTGTGGACATTGGATTGTCCGACGGTCCTAATCAGTGTTCAGACCACCAGTTTGTTAGAATTCACCTGTCATGTTCCTGATGGGATAAGACAAAAGAGAAATTCGAAATGTACGAAGTCACAGCAAACGAAGTTCTTTTATTGGCTTTCTGAGTGATACGCTGTGTGCGGCTAATCCGTAAGTAATCAGTTACGGCTGCATGCAAGCATCCTACCCACCGTGGAGTGTATTCCATATAAACCGAACAGGTGACCACTGTTGTCGATCCTGGCGCACAGTTTGACTCGCTAACGGTGTCACTCCCTGTCATCCGAAACAGTACCCAACAATGCAGTTATTGCTCTGTCTGCCGCATCTCTTATTTGTCCCTTTAGTGAGACAGCGAGCGGTGCTTAATGATTGAGAAACTGAATAGTATAGTGTCCTATCACGTGCTAGTTTTGCGTGTGTTAATTGCATGTGTGGATAGCCAACAGGTTGGGTATACTGAAACTCGAAAATGCGCGCCAGAAGCGCTTGCGTTTTCACGTGGCGTGGCTGTAAACCCGTTGATTTGCCTCTGTTTGAGATAGTCACAACGTCATTTCGTTCCAGAGTCATTGTAAAAGTTACATCAGGATACCTTCTGTATTCCAGCGCGACATGCTAAAAATGATGCTATGACACGTTTTTATGATTTCAGGTAAAATTTATTTGGATTGGAGCAGAAACTGCTAAAAACTGGTAGAATCTCCTCAGTTCTACGTGCTTCGGGTCAACGCTCACGCAGTTGGTTTGGCTGGGTTCGTTGCACAGTCCCTGAAGCATGTTTCTTGAAACAGTGTTTTTCACAAGGATATGTAGACACAAGAATGTCTTTTATAATTATCACTCGGTGAGCTCCCTGGACACCCAACTTTCCCTCTACCCAAGATCCTATCCTTCACTGTTCCGCTAGTTTCTAGTACTATCTACGCTATACCTGCTCTTATGGTGGTCAGTCAAGCTACGACATCTACCCAGATAAACTGTATTATAGCGTTATTTCTGCGTTTGTTCATTTTTGTGTGCATTTGTGTGCTTACGATTTACTTCCAGGTGAAAAATTGTTTGAACTTAGACTGGCCTGTTATTCAAGAACAGACGTTTTACGTGCGGTACAAGAAGTTGGGTAATAGGACGACCGATTGTGGTGGAACTCACAGCAGTCGGGGACATAAGATTAGTAATCTTGTTGAGCTACGTCCAGCCTGAACTAGTGTGCGTCAAATAAGGATACAGTTCGCGACGGTCCCATCAGTATTCTTTTTAGTAGGACAATGGCTTTGCAGTTCGTCTAAATTTCTGAGGGCTAAAAATCCATCCAGGTAGCTTCGTCTTCCAGACGGATTCTTTTTCCGTGTAGGATTATTGTGAAAGCCAAACGTAACAATAGTTGAGAACCATACTATCACATGGATGGTTCTACCATAGAAACGGACTGAAAATATTCGGTGAGATTGGCCCGCTATCAATAAAATTGCTCAGTGTGGAGTGCACATTTCACACTTAGCTTATCTTCAGGTAATTTGCTGATTTTGAACTCAGTGTCGAATTCTCACTTGCTCTTTCGTTCTTTAACTTAATCGAGTCTCTACCGGGAAGCTGGAAAGCACAGGTAAACTTCCGGATTCCTTCTTGTTATCAGTAATTTTTAAGTGCCTCAAAAGGGAGGATGATTCACAAGTCGCCTAATTCTTCCATCTGATAATTTGTCGCCTGAATTGTTAGTCATCACATGACCACGTGAATCTCGGAACTGCAGGATGATCGGCGCTATATCCTTTCAATGTGCGATTTAATCACACCACAGACCATCTTTTCCTGACTAGGAGTTCTAGTTTTCAACAGCTAGCTGGGAGTTTGCGAGGCTGACCTTCTCTGGAGATTTGTGCGACACACTGATGTTGATTCCCAACAACAGAGAGACAAATACGCGTTACTTTTCTGCTTTTTAGCACATAACGCTTATGATCTCGATTAGCCGCATTATAGGCTACTCTTTGAAACTCTTGCTGTTAGAGAAACGAATACAGAAACGTACCCACACTCCCAGTAACCACATGCACAAACCCGTCACGATCGGCGAGTATAGAGTGGCTTGCCAATGACGGTTCCTATACAGTTGCATGGAGGTTGGATAATATAGCTGATAACTATCTACCTATACTGAACACCTACCGTGATGCGGTGAGCAAATTGTTCACAGAACATGTGAGTTTTGATCTCGAAACCAGTATTCCCACGTGAGCTAACGAGAAACGATGGCATGGAAGTTAGAATCGATTGTAACAGAGTACTCTGTTCAAAACATGGACTGTGAAGTACTGTACGCATTCAAGGTGCCCAGAATCTGTTTCCATTCATAGGTACGACTCAATATGAGGTTGATTAAAGCTCAGATCCCTCCCTGATCTTTAGGCCACGTATTGGACTAATTCTTATGGCATATTCACCTAATGTGAAGCGAACTTGATTCCCCGTTGGATAATCAATCACACTGGTGTTAGTCAAACGCTGCACACGTACAAGTGATGTCAGGAAAAGTGGACCTTGGTTCTGTATGACTGGTGCAAGCTCGCAACCTACACTCGCCATACATACGGTGTATCCGGGACAGTTATTTAACAAGGCCTACCTGGGTGTGTTTGTTCTGGTGGCTGTACATATGCAGTTCACACCTCGAAATTACTTGGTCCTGGAGAATGTGGAGAATGTCCGAATCATAACCCCCATAATTCCGAATGTTCTTAATTCTCCAGTGTAAGGGATTTCTGGTTGGAAAAGTTTATTGTTGGAGAAAGGATTTCTAATCACACAATCCAAATATGATAGGTGGGGTGAGTCGATAAGTCAACATACACCAGAGGGTTCATTCATCATCAGTCATCATCTGTTCCAAAAAGCTTGGCCGGTGGTGTCGGCCCCTTCCAGGTCTCTGATGTCTCGTGGGATGGCGTATCGGTTTTGGTTGACGGGACGGTCTCCAGACAGAAGACCATTCTCTGTCATATTCGTCATCTTCGTCCTCCTGTCCGAAGAATTCTTCGAGTTCAAAGAAAGCGGCTCCTCCACATGGACCTCTTGATGGCTCCCCTTCATCGCCTGTGTCATCCTCTTCACGATCAGAATCTTCTAGGTTTGTCTCTGTGGTTGTTTGTTGCGGCCTTGTCACATCTTCCGGATAGAATATTCCCCATACCTCAGAATCAGAGAAAGTGATCGGTTCGTATGGAGTAGGTCTCGCAGACACACACAGAACCAGTGCAATCAAATGGATCCACAACATGTTTGCATTCGACTGGCTGGACCCGGTGCTTGCAGACCGTTTTATACGGATGCATGTTGATTCAGCTCGATAGTGTGGTTCGATGGTGCATACAATCAAGAGTGAACCAACCAACATCTCTTAGAAAGTTGGAAGGAACGAGGATACGCTTCCGGTTTACAAGGTCCGTACCAATCAACCCACGTAGACACTGTACAAACTCGCTGTGTTCTTACTTATGTTACAGTAAACAATGAGGGTTGTCCATTGAATCACACGTGTTACCAGAGAATCGGCTATTGTTGTTACTAACGTACCTTTATACGAAGTTCTCGTGATCGCACAAACGTGTTCTAAGGCGTGGTGAGTGTTCACGTTGAGGATTTATGATAGGTTCTGCCATGAGACAACATCATTCGTGTGACACTGCTCGCAACCAGGTGGATGTCAGATCGAGAAAAGAACTAAATAACTAAATAAGTAGCTTAACTCAGGATGTTTATTAACCGGGTTACAGAGATTTTGTTCAACAGGAATGAATGCTTTTCAGGACGCTCAAACATATGATTGTTCTTTCGTGATCTTCTTATTCCTGTGAACCGAATTGAAAACCAACAATATTCTCATAAAAAAAACTACTTACAAGGTTGCTGAAAACTGTTGGACAGCGCACGACCGGTTTCGCCATTCTTGGGGCTCATCAGGTAGGCGCAGTCCGCAAGTTCCCATCAACCTTATGTTCTACTTGAACCCAAATTGGACTGTTTTCGAGAAATACATTCATTTGCCAATCAATTTGGTTTTCACGAGAGGTCCAACTGAATCTCTCATTTATGCTATTCTACAACTGAATGTGCTGCACACAGGCCGCCTCATGTTTCAGTTGGCAGGATATTCGAGATATCGCAGTATATTTTCCTTAAGGAAACTTCAACAATATTCTGTTTGTTCCAAAGATTCAAAAAAACTAGTGACGAGCTGTTATCCCTCATTCTCTTCGTTTGACAGCTTAGAGGATGCGCAAATATACTGCTCTCTACAGAGAAATATCTGTTCGTGGATTGAATTATCAGTAATGAAAAACGCATGGAGTTTCCAAGTTTTGTGACTGTTAATTTCTACGTTCTCATGCCAATAGATAACCTTTTCCTAAAGTACGCTTGATAAACTATGCATAACTTTTCACGGACTAGGCCAACTTGATAGGCTACGATTCGGGCGCGAATGAAGGCTTTCTGACTTGTATTTATCTCGCCATAGTATGTGTAGGGTAGTTTGGAATATTCTACTTGCATGCCGAACAAACGTGGCCTCAAAGTTGATTCTATTAGTGCTTCGTGTAACCCAAAGTTGCGAACGTTAGTCATATTTCACTGAAACGGACATGTGAGACCATTTGTCTCTTCGGGTCAATGTGGCTGCTAAATGGTCAGGATGTTAGAGCCTACATTTGCAGTATAATCGTAAAACATGCGAAAGTTATCCATGAAATTCCAACAGGTATATTGGAGTAAGTTCACTATAATCATTAGCAATGAATTCCTTTCCCGAATGCGCATGTGCTGTTTGTCTGGCCAAGTTAACCGAAGTGGTTCTATACGAACGGCCATCGATGGATAGGACTGCATGTTATTTTGTATGAAGCAATGTATGATACTGAAACGACCGATGGCACAACACTTAGGTGTTTACTGAGGTGAATGTGTCTACCCCCTGCTATCTTGCTGAGACAGATCGACGACCAATCGCTCGCAATCGACCCAGTGACATTTGTCTGCCGATTTTATTACTCTGACTTTAATTCGCTTACCCTAAACCCAGCTGAATCTCCTGTTAAAACCAAACTGGTAATCAATTTGGGTTCAATAGAACATAAGATTTACGGAGACTCGAGGACTGTGTCTACCTGATGAGCCCCAAGAAGGGCGAGACCGGTTCCTGGTTGTCGATGAATTTTCAGCAATCTTATGAGTAGTGCATTACATCTGAACAGAGAAGCTTCTTTATCCAACTTTTTGGCCATGTGTGGTTAGTATTCGAGCTAATTATCTGTGATTATTCTCAATCACTACTCGGTGGTGATTCATTTATCGAAGAGCATGTAGTGTTGGTTTGGCATTCCGATCCGGTGCCGTTGTGATCCGCTTTCCATCTGAAATGACTGAAGTTTTGAAACGACTTTTCCAAATGTGTATTCGATACTACTGAGACAAGTCAGTGTATTTCTGAGAAACTTTACCTAAATCGAAACTATTTCCTGGCTGAGTCCAGGGGGGGTGACCAATTCAGATATATCAGACTTTTCACATCTTTTTGGAGAATATGGTAGGCACCAAAACGATGAGGTGTGGATTTCATGCTATCGCCTTTATTGGAGGATGCTGATCTTTTTCCTAGAACGAGACACTTTGCCCCATACAATGGCACATCGATTCTGAAAAGTACTAGGAATTGATGAATTGATGTGTGTGTATGTGATATAAATGTGCTTATAAACAACCTTAATCACGGTTTACATAGGCTCAAATGATGCTCACTGAAATACGGACCTAGTGAGTAGGAGAGACTCTAGTGCTAGATATCATTTGCCTACATCTGTATGGTCGAAATCAATGAGTCTAAATTCGATATTTGAGCAAATCCAATGACCACGACGACAGTGGTAGGGTTTAGTTGCTAAGATCTTCAAAGGACTCTGCCTTAAAAGAGTTGGGTTGGTCTTTTTGTCCGGTAAAACAGATAGCCTAAATGTGCTGTGTTTTCACAAAGTTACTGTCATTGACAGATTTGTCTTGGGATTATACGGGACATGAAGACTTCGTGTCATCATACGGAACAAAAGGTTTTGCAAATCGGTTAGAATCGCCTTGTGGTGCAGGTCCTGGCAGTCTAGTTGAAGTACTTTCCTTCATGGGGTTTTCGTTTGCCAGATGCGTATTTTACACTAGCTAAAACAGTGAAAGTTGACTACCAGCAAAATAAAAACAAGTGGTAAACCTCTTTGAATTTTCGTTACATGCGCACCGCTGGTGATTCCTGATAACAATGAAACAGCTATTAATCACGGATTGGCTCCACTTACAGGACAAAGTTCCGAGTGGGCATTACTGAATCTTCACTTCCTACTAGCTACAGCAAAGAAGGGTGATGTCCCTGAATATACCAGCTCTGTTTACTAAAGTAAGAGTGTTTGCAAATGCCCTTTCTAACAGATACCGTGATTCTTACTTAAAATCATTCCACACTTGGATGTCTCCAGTAGCTGGTTTTAGCACTCCTCTTCACAGAATATACCTAATGAGACCTAGTAGGAACACTGCTAAAATTGGTTGTGAACGTATTTTTTTAACTAACAATAAAACACGTTGTGATCTCTCTCGGTAGCATTCTCCGGTTTTGAATTTAATGACGTCTAATTATCATACCAATGTTGGACTCTGCTCACTGCTTTCACCTTCGCACCATGCGAAAGTCTTTGTGTTGAAAATATGACAAACGTGCATTTCTCTGTAAAACATGATCTGAGAGAAAAACTTCATTTACACCTCATAAGATTGTCTCTTCATCACTCCTCTCCAGCACATGATAATTTACTTCAACAACAACAGCTTGGGACGAATACGCACGGAAATACAGCTCAAGTTTTCCCTGAGCGGGAATCCGCTGCATCACTTAGGGACCCATAACTACACCTTTTCTACCTCTCAGATTTGCTGTAGTTTTGTTCCTGGTATCTTTGTACAGTGTAGGCTGTCCAGAAAATATATGGACGTAGGCGGTCAAGTGTTAGCACGCATATGGATGCCGTTTGAATGTTGGGGGTTAGATTTGATTCACCTTTCGGTTTTTCAACTTGTGACTATTCTGAGTTTCGTCTTACCGTACTAGAAAGTGTATGAATTTAGATTATCGTCACGGCAGATCTAACACGTATTGCATTCATTTGGTTCTGTCAGGTTACTCTGTCCCTTCACGTACAGCCACATAACTGGATTTTTCCACAAATCCGGATCAAGGCGTTGCGTAAACGGTGTTACCGCAAGAGTAATTGAACATGATGACGTGTAGTGCTGGTGATTGATCAGATGGCCCTTGATCTGTTCACCGAACTTGGACATCAGCTTGCAAACATTTCATCGACAGTAGGAACTTCCTCCCGACCTATCTGCGTTCATGTAGCTTTCGAAAAGTACCCTCTCGTGTAATTGGCTAATTGTTATATACCTTTCTTTTAATCGTATTAGCACGTTCGTTGTTTGGGCTGCGTTGTGATCTGTATATCCTTTATTCCACTGAGTCGCTGGAGAGCCACATAGGGGCTTTTTAGGTCCACTTTCGATTGGCCCATTGTGTTATCCTCTTGTCTTCCTTGCATTCAGATTTTCCGTATGGCGTTCTTTAATTTTTGTGGTTTATTTCCTTCCGTCAGATTGGTCTATTCTTAGTTTGTACGGTATTCGCATACTCTTGAAATTGATTAGCCAGTTTGACGTAGTTTGATGTGGTTTGATGTTGTTTTTATTTCTTGTGTTGGCCGATTTGACTTTCTTTTAATGGTCACTTCGATACCATCCATCTCTGAATCGTTCCTTATGCTTCGATTAATCTGTGGATTAATCTCTAGGTTTCTTATAATGAGTGTCATCGCGACCGGTAGCATGTTTTCAGATTTTTCATGGACCGTTAAAATATTGCACATTATAGTGTGATTAGTGTGCATAGTGAATGAGGACGAATGCTTGTCTCAAAGTTGACCATTCCAGACGTCCTCATTTTGACTTGGTGCAATTTAGCATTCGTCCCATCAGGCAAAGCAACTTTTCGTTTAAAGTTGCAATGACAGTCTGATAGAATGTTCTGGAGTGACATAGTCAGAGCTAGAAATAAGAAGCAAGTTTGTTGTGAGAGGAAGTGAAAACTGCTCAAGTAGTCAAGGTTCAGTCTCCAGTCAAGCCACAGTGGCATTGAAAGCTTCAAAAACCGTAAAATTCGAATACTGTATTCAGGAATTTAAAACCTAC